GTTGAATTGTTTATATTCCTACATGGAAAGATGATATTTGTAACTATAAGACCTTTCTCAGTATTAGGGTAGTTGGAAGGAATATATATATAGACAGAGGACACAGGGTTAGTTGAATATGAAGGGATGATGTCTAAAAAAGAAAATTAAGGGGTGAGAGAGGAATGTACTGGGAGAAGGAGAAAGGGAGAGGTAGAATGGGGTAAATTATCTCACATTAAAGAGACAAAAAAAAGCTTTTACAGTGAAGGGGAAGAGGGGGGAAGTGAGAAGGAAAGAGTGAACTTTACTCTTATCGCATTTGGCTGAAGGAGGGAATAGCATACATACCCAATTGGGTATGGAAATCTATCTTACCCTCCAGGAAAGTAGGGGGGAAGGGGATAAGAGAGGGAAGGGTGATAGAAGAGAGGATAGATTGGGGGAGGGGGGTAATCAGAAGCAAACCCTTTTGAGGGGAGACAGGGACAAAAGAGAGAATAGAATAAATGGGTGCCAGGATAGGATGGAGGGAAATATAGTCTTTCACAACATGATTGTTATGGAAGTGTTTTGCATGACTGCACATACATACCCTATGTCAAATTGCTTGCCTTCTCAATGTGGGTGGTGGGGACAGAGGAGGGGAGGGAATTTGGGACTCAAAGTTTTAGGAACGAATGTTAGAAATTGTTTCTGCATGCAACTAGGAAATAAGATACACAGGCAAAGGGGTATAGAAATCTATCTTACTCTACAGGAAAATAGAAGGGGAAGAGGATAAGAGAAGGCGGTGGGGGGCAGTAATAGAAGGGAGAACAGATAGGGTGAAGGGGGAATCAGAATGCAGGCTGTCATGGGGTGGGAGAAGGGGAAGGATGGGGAGAAAATTTGGGGAACTCAAAATATTGTAGAAGTAAATGTTGAAAACTAAAAATAAATAAGTGAATTGGAAAAAAAAACTAGGGGATTTCAACATGCATTTTTTGATGATCCTACAAACACCCTGGCCTCCCACTTCATTCATCTTCTCAACTTCCATGACCTACTTCTTGCACCTTGACCAGATAAAGATATATTGATCAGCAGTACCTACAAATGATCCGTGTCCATAATCTAGAAATCCCAGTTTCTCTGACTATAACCTTGTACCATTCTCTCTTCCCCTATCTCTTTCTCCTTCTCATCTCTTCTAACTCTATTCTTAGTCCTAACTGTGATCTATAGCCCCTCTACTTCCTGGTGCTCCTTGAGGCTAACACCTCTGATTTTCCCAATCTCAATTCCATGGTTAACCAGTTGAACATTACACTGAACTCTACCCTCAAATTGTTTCAGCTTCACGTCTTAGAGGTGTCTTCTCACACATCTTTACAAACTCCAACCCTCATATATTCCCACTGTCTGCCCCCTCCGCTCCTATTCACACGCTGCTGAATAGTACTGAAGGAAGTCATGAAACTGGGTACTGACTGGGACCACTAATTATTATTATCCACTAATTAATTATTATCTAATCTCAACTGGGTCCTCATACTTCTCCCTAATTATTTCTTTATTAAATTCTCCTAAAATTCCAAAGTTTCTCTCCTCTTCTCAAACTTCCCCTGCCCCTGCCCCTGCCCCTCCCCTTAAGCAGTGGATTTCACCTCAAACGTTAGTAAGAAAATAAAAGGCTTCTTTCTGGAACTCCTTCTTCTTCTCTTCTCTACATCTTAAAACCCTTTGACATCATCTTTTGCCATCTCCCCCTTTACTTCAGTCTCTGATGAAGGAGTAGCCCTTCCCTAGACCAGTTTTTCTATTTGCACCCTTGATCTCATTGTCTCCCATCTCTTCTGGTAGATCGCCCCCATAATTTTTTCCCTCTCTCTAATCTTTAATCTCTTCCTATCTACTGACTCCTTCCTTATCGGCCACAAACATGCCCAGGTTGCCTTATCCTTAAAAACAAAAACCCAAACTTAGTAGAGCCTACCATCCTTCTCTCCAACAAGCTACCATCTTCCATCTCTCTTCTCTTTCACAGCTAAACTAGAAAAAGCTGACTTCACTCACTGCTTCCATCACCTGTCCTCTCACTCCTCACTCTTAAAAATCTGACTTCCAAAGCAACTGAAACTTCTCTCTCTAAAGTTACCAACAGTTTCTTAATTGCTCAATCTGATGGTCTTTCTCAATCTTTGTCCTCCTTGACCTCTCTGCTGTATTTGACACTGTTAGCTACCCTCCCCTCCTGGTTCTCTCTCCTCCGATTAGTTTTTGTGACTTCCCTCCTTGGTTTTCCTCCTTCCTGACTGCATGATGCTTCCAAGTCTGCTTTGCTGGACCTTTATCCATGCCTCACTCACCTTAAGTGTCCCCAAGGCTCTGTCATCAGCCAAATTCTCTTTTTATTCTATATTTTGTCAGTTGGTGATCTCATCAGCTCCCATAGGTTCAATTATCATTTTTATATAGATAACTCCCAGATCTATATCTACAACCCAAGATTCCTTCCTGAGCTCCAGTCCCAACTTCCTACTGGACATTTCAGACTGAATTTGCCTCAGTTGTTCAAATGGAGTTTCAAACTGAAACTCAATCTGTCAAAAGCAGAACTCAATATCCTTCCCCAAAACCTCCTCTTCTGAATTGCCTTAATTCTGTTGACACCACCATCCTTCTAGTCACCCAGGTTTTTTAATCTCTGTATCTTCCTTAGGTCCTTCCTCTCCCTCTCTTTACTTATCTAATTAGTTTCTGAATATTATCAATTCTGTCTCCACGTTTCTTTCATAACATTGCATTTATCATTGTAATTCAGGCAATGATCACTTCTCACCTGGACCGCCTACATTAGTTTCCAAATCAGTCACTCTAGTGAGCAGAACCAAGAGAACGTTGTACACAGTAACAGCCACATTGTGTGATGACTAAGATTGATAAACTTAACCCTGCCCAGCAATACAAGGATCTAAGACATCTCCAGAGGCCTTGTGATGGAAAATGCTATCCATATCCAAAGAAAGAACTATGGAAGTTGAATTACTATTTTTTTTCTCTTCTGTTGAGTTTTTTTCCCTCTTTCTGATGGTTCCTCCTATTGGTTTTAATTTTTACTTACAACATCACTAATGTGAAAATATGTTTCATATGAATATAAAGGTATAGCCTATATCAGATTGTGTGCCGTCTTGGGGAGGGTGGTGGGGAAGAAGGGGGAGAAAAATTTTAAACTCAAAAGCATATGGAAGTGATTATTGATAAATCAAAATAAATTAATAAAAAAAAGAACAAATCAGTCACCCTATCTCATTTCTCCCCTCTCTAAGTCACCCTCTATACAGCTACCCAAGGATGTTCCTAAACCACAGGTTTGGCCATGTCACTCCCTTCTCAACAAGTCCCAATGGCTCCCTGTTGCCACCTGGAAAAAAATACACATTCTTCTGTTTGACGTTTAAAGCCCTTCCCAAGACTTACTACCCGCAAACTTCTTTCACACTTTCTATGGTCCAGTCAAATTGGCCTTTTTGTTTTTCTCACACATGAGATTCCATTTGTCATCTCCATGCCTTTAAACAGGTTTTTCCTTATCCCTGAACATGCTCCCCCTTCAGTTCCACCTCTTAGAAATTCCACCTCTAGCTTCCTTCAAAGCTCTGCTCAAATATCACAGTCCTGTTAAGCCTTTCCTGATTCCCTTAATGCCAGTACCTTCCTCCTCCCAAATTAGCACACATTTTGTATTTACTTCTATGTGCATGCATTGTTTCCTCCAATGGAATGTATCTTCCTTGACTAAGAAGGAGGGAAGGGACCTTATTAAGTGTTCCAGGCACAGTATTTAGCCCTTTACAAATAACATCTCATTTGAGAGCATTTTTATCTTTATAGCCCTCAATGCCGAGCCGTACCACTGTGCCTGAAACATTGTAAGCGCTTACTAAAAGGTTGATGATTAATTGAAAGAGGAAGAATAAGGAACACAAAATAAAGATTTTTTTAAAAAAAAAATTAAAGTTTTCACATTCCTAAGGTTCACACCTTAGGAATAATGAATAGGTAAATAAATAGGTAAATGAATAGAGCTTCACCACTATTATTGTACAGTGAAGAACTTATGGGAAAGCTCCAATAATTACAGCTATCCAAACATGGAACAGAAAGTAGTGAGGTCCCTGTCACTAGAGATGATTTAAGCTAAGTCTGCGTGACCAATTGTTAGTGATGTTGTAGAGACTGATTCATATTTTAGGTCGAGATTGTACAACATAACTTTTGAGATCATTTCCAACTCTTAAGATTCTAGAGGTCTAAGCTCAAGCAAGTGAGGAGGGGAGTACAGCAAAATGTCATCTACTTGTTGGGATACTAGATCAAGGTACAATACCTGGGGTGACATTAAGTCAAACGTTATTCATGCCTATAATAATTTCCTGGCCAACTGAGGTTAAACAGAAAAAACTGTAAAATAATTACACAGAATAACTCTGCTTTTGCCTACACCCAACTCTTTCAGTTTCTGTTTTGTTTGCTGAGTAGATTAATTAATTAATTAACCTTGATTGTTAGGGTAAAATAGACTGAATTTGGCTGAGTTCAGAGAAGTCAAAGGATAGTGAGCTGCCATTTTTTTGTGCTGGCTAAAAAAATGGTAGACTAAGTAGGTGCCAATCATTTGGCGAATGACTGAACAAATACTGCTTTATGAATGTTGTGGAATAACTTTGTGCCATAAGAAACAACAAATAGGTGAAATTCTGAGCAACTTAATAAGGCTCATTTAAACTGATGCAGAATGGAGAAAGCAAGACTCAGAAAACATTATAAACAATGACTACAAATGCAAAGGAAAATAGTGCTAAAGGCATTAGAATTCCGATGAGTGGGATGATTAATCTTGATTCCAAGGGACTGATGATAAAGTACATTCCCTTCTCCTCACCCCTTTCAGTAGAGAAGTGGTGGACTACAAATGGAGAACATTGCATATATATCAGACATGATCGATGATAAGATAGTAAGATTTTGCTTACCTGTTTCTATTTGTTGCAAGGAGGGGAGGATTGTGGTGTGAGTGTGTGTGTAGAGGAGAGGGTTGGGAAGTGAAAGTGATGTTTTTAAAAAACCCCAACAGAGGGGATTTTTAAAAAGTTGTTTGAAACTCATGAGCTGGCCTAAAACATGTATTTTTGACACCAAACCCTGAATGTAATTACCCTCCCTCAGAGAACTAGTCCACAGCAAACTGACTGTTACTTCTCATCTTTGTCTATAGAGTTTATTTTTCTTCTTTCTATACAAGGAATTAGCATCTCATGTTACCTAAGTAAAAATATTCAAATTCTTGATCCAAGAAATAAATAAATGTCCTTCTCTGGTTTGTGTTTTCTTCTTGTAATCCCTTAAAACTGTTTATTATTATTACTTATAATGCCCAATCCTTTGACCTGGCCAGGGTCATTTTAAGATTCTATTCCTACTTGGCCACATGCTCAGCTGCCCCACCCATTCTGACTGCTTAAAACACTTACTAAAAGAGACGATAAAACTGAAGTTCAAGAATTCAATACGTGCATTACGCATAATACTGCAAATGATCAGTAGTTGGCTTCCTCTCCCCTGAGGGCCAAGATTTCATTATAACTCTTGATAGACTTTTGTACTGGAGCAAACTGGTCTTGTTTTCTCATCTGCATCTGCTGCTTCTGTTGAGACAGTTGCAAACTTAAAGGTAAGAATCCTTCATTTTATTTATTTGTCTACTTATGTAGTTCTTAACCTGGAGTCCACAAAGTCCCAAGGGGGTCATTGGATAAATTTCAGGGGGGCTATGAACTTGGATGGGGATTATTTTCACTAACCTCTAACTGAAATTGAGCATTTATTTTAGTTATGAATGTAGACAGTAAACTACAGTTGTATTAAGCTTCACCAGAATGTCAAAGGGATCCATGGCACAGAAATAGATTAAGAAACCCTGACACAGAATAAAGATCTTGAGCTGCTCAGATCTTTCCAAAATGCGTAATATTGGCTCTACTCAAAGAGAGAAGAAAAGTGAGTTTTTAAATTAGATTTTAGTATTTATAAATTTTTTCTCATATTGTTCTAGGAGTAGTAAATGGGATTATTGCACTGAGGATTTTTTAAAAAAGAATTCTAGATTGATATGGCCTTGAATTAGAAACTGATTAAGTCTTAAATTAAATAAAAATTTAAATTAAATAAAGATATTGTATTATTTTCTAAAAATTAAGTCTGAGTTTAAGCATTGGTGGTCAGTTTTACTGGTACCCTTTCTTCTCTTACTTTTCCTGCTCTTAATTCAAAACCTATTATCAATGTCTGTTTAATGCAGCTTTTTGAAGTTTGGAGCTTAACTGTTGTCATTTGACCCGATTAATATTATGTCTTTGTGCTGTATTTTTTTTTAAAGAGAGGAAAACCTGATACTTTTAAAATGATGACTCTGATACAGGTACTGCTAAATTTTAAACCCATCAAAATAGGAAATTAACTATAGTTTTGTGAAAGATTACTGATATTTAACCAGGGGCAGACATTTGGCTCTTAAGCATCTGGTTCTTGGGAGTGCATAAAGTACTCAAATTGAATGTCTTCGAGAGGCTTATTCACTACCTATGTTTTATGTTCATTTTCATTTACTTATTTTGGTCCACACAGGTGATTTCATCTTAGAGGAAATTCCTACCTAGGAATCTCCTCCTAATACACACTGACAATTCCTCTGTAAATTATAGATTTAGAGAGATCACTGAGATATTAAGTGACTTGTCCATGGTCATGTAGTCAATGTGTATCAAAGGCAGGAGTTGAGCCCATAGATTCCAGGGATAGCCCTTCCTCCACTATGCCATTTTGTCTCTCTTTATGTTCATCCATATTAGGGATAGGGGCTGGACCTGTGATTTCATGGGTATATGGAACTCCTGGTGAGGAAACCCCCCTACCAATGCAAGTTGTCACCTCCTCTGTAATTTATAAGAGTTGTCTAGAACCCTCAGGGGTTAAGTGACTTGCCCAGGGTTACACAGCCAATATGTGTAAGAGGCAGGACTTCAAATCTTCCTCATTTTTGAGACCATCTCTCCATACACTATAGGACAGCTAGGTGGTGCAGTGGATAAAGCACCAGGCCTGGTGTCCAATGTGACCTCAGACACTTAGTATCTTTGTGACTCTGGGCAAGTGACTTAACCCTGCTTGCCTCAGTTTCCTTATCTGTAAAATGAGCTGGAGAAGGACATGGCAAACCATGCCAGTATCTCTGCCAAGAAAACCCCAAATGGGGTCACAAAGTCAGACACAAATGAACAACTCCATACATTATGCCACAAGATTCCTTAATTCATGCTTAGAACAATTTTCTGTAAATGTCACATTTCCATACTGGCAAAGACCTTTGAAATCTACAATATTCTACACATTGTAGATGCTCAATAATAAATGTTGATGGATACCATAACATCTTCATGATTGATGTTTTTACAGCATCTCCTATTATAGAAAACCTAACAATAATAATGCCCTCTAGATAACAAAGCACTCTGATACTCAGAATAAGGCATCTTTTATGATAAAGCAAAGAAACTAATTCTGCCTAATGAGAGACAATTTAAAACAATCTGTAAAGGCAAATGGCCAGCAAAGACTTTTAAGGCATATAAGTGCAACCAAAAAAAAAATTTTTTTTAATATCCCAGAGGCAACAGAACCTCAGATGAATGAACCATCATACCTGGACTGAAAAAAAAAACCCAAACAAACCATACTTTAACTTTCATTCCTTTTTCATAGCTACCACTCAAGTCTAAAACATTATTTAATTTTCTAACTCTAACACCTAGCACAGTACCTTTCTCATATAATAGGCAACTAATAAATATTTGCTAAATGGCGTTGAATTGAATTAAATTGTTCTCTCAGCTCTTTGTCTTCTGCCTTTTAAAATTTTTTCTGCACACTGCTGCCAAATTAATCTTCCTAATATGCTACTTTAATCAGGTTACTCCCTTGCTCAAAATTCAGATTACAAAAGTTCAAAATACATCTTGACGGAAATTGAGACTAAGAACGTGAGTGTAGGTTGGCTTGGTTACTGCTGGGATGTGCTTGCTAAATCCAAAGAATGGGCACCTGAAACCCCAAGTCATCAGAAGAATTGCTGAAGTTTGTAACTAATAAGCTGCCGATGAGGTAGTAGAGATTTTATCTAGTTGGTGTTTTCAGTTCCCAGTTTGTGTATTTTTTGAATTGAGTTTTCAGCACTCCATCTCCTGTCTGCATTCCTTTGCACAACCTGTCTCCCCTCCCCCATGTCTGGAATTTACTCTCCCCTCCCCTCTACCTATTATACTCCCTAACTTCCTCAAGACTCAGGTCAGAGGTCTCTAATTGAACTCTAATCTGCTTCAATTCAACAGTTTTTTCCTGTTCTCCCTAGCTGTTAGTTCTCTCTCTCTCTCTCTCTCTCTCTCTCTCTCTCTCTCTCTCTCTCTGTCTCTGTCTCTCTCTCTCTGTCTCTCTCTCTCTCTCTCTCTCTCTCTCTCCTCAAACTATCTGGTGTTGAATTGTCTGTGTATGTTGCATGATCCTAAGCAAAATGAAAGCTTCTGGAGAATGGAGACCGACTCTTTTTTGTTTGTTTGTTTCTGCAACCCCAAACACATAGCACAATGCTTTGCACATAGATGTTTAATAAATGTTTGAATTGAATTGACTGGTGGCTCATGCATGGGGTGGGGGGGAAGAACTAGGCTGATAGCTGATTTGAGTGTGTCAAGTCTGAAGTCTCCCCAAAGACATTTGCAAAGACTGAACTGGGAAGAATCCAATGACATTCTGGAAGGGAGAAGGGAAAAGGAGGTAAATTTTGCCTTCTTAGAAATTGCCCAAATTCTGGTTTAAGGAAATTCTCAGGTGAGTTTAGATTTTTTTTTCTCTAAAAACATTTTTATTGTCTAAAGCTGGTCCAGTTCATCCCCTCAGAGGAACAGAGCAATAGAAAAACATTTAAATCTAATATGAGCCATGGAAGGGGGACAGTAACTGTAAAAGTAACTGGTTAGAATTCGAGCATGAGAATCCAGAAGCCAAATTCCTCTCATCTCCCTCTTCCAGAAAACTGAAGTAAGCACAGCTCCTCCAGTTGGGATGAAGAAGACTTTGTATTTTCTCTTTTCCTTTATGTTCCAGGAGCTTCTAGGTAGAGCAGTTAAGTTGATGTCCCTTCATCACAAATCAGGCTTTTCTAGAGAAAGATGAAGCCCCTTAACAATGAACTGTTGGTTAAAAAAAATTAATGAATGGAACGAAGAGCAAAGACTGAGGGCCCAGACTGAGCTGAAGATAGTCTCTGAGGAAGTCACTGTGGAGACATTCCAAACTTGTATCCTTAAAGGCATTGTAAGTCATATTGGTTCGTGGCAAATTTTTGTGACTTTTACCTATAGTTTTACTATGTCTTTGTAGCCTGTTAAATTTATATCGTCTGTTCCAAACAGTGGACCTATCTTTGCTGTTTGTCTTCTTACCCTGAACTTGGCTTTGAAAACCATTTTTATGTCCTTTTCCCTTTTTCTTTCCAGCCTCACCTCATTATTTTAGGGTTCTGTGATACTCATTTGCATTTTTCTCTGGTCATATGATCCTCTGTGCTGGTTTGATCTCTCTTTTCATTCTTAAGCATTTTTCCCCCTTGTTAACCTGAGCTCAGTGGAAAGCTGACTAGGAAGCCACTTCAGTCTTCTTTAATGCCTTTCCCCTTTTCATTGGGTCATAGGATCATAGATTTTGAGCTCGAGAAGTCATATAGTCCGACCCCCTCATTTTTTGGCCTTAGACATTGGAGAAGTTTGCTATAATCTATACTTCCATCTGGGCCCTTTAGCATGATTTAATGTTGGATTTGGAATCAGGAAACCAGGGCCCAAAGAATTTAATTGACTTGTCCAGAATCACAGAGCTAGGAGTGTCAGGAGTAGGATTTTAATGAAGCCACATCCTCTGACTACAAATGGAGTGCTCTTTCCTGTGATCAATTGAAATGTGTCCTTACTGCATTGGTATCAATCAGAATTGAATCATCATTTTCTGAGAATCTTTCTTTTTGAGCTGTATTCTTAGAACATGGGATCACACCTACCTTTTTGATGAACTTTATGAAATCAGTTTCCTTAAAGTCCAGGGAATGTGTCTAACTATGTCCAACACTCTTCTCTCTGGCTATCAGGGCTCCATGGTAAATACAACTTTTTCCAAGGTACTTTCACCAACCAGTTCCTCTGCTGCCATCATTCAGGAAGCTCCCCTTCTTTGAAGTTCATGTCATCTGATGATTCCAATCCTTGTCTTCAACATCCATTGATCTTTACTTTCTTCAATCACTTTAGCAATTGGTTTCCTCTCCATTCTCTGTTCCCACCATCCTTGACAACTTCACAATGAAGATCCTTCCTTCACCCTGGCCCTTCTGTTCCCTGAGGCTTTCCCCTGCCTTCATTCAAGACTCAGCTAAAACCCTACCTTCTACAAGAAGCCTTTTCCAATCCTTGTTAATGCTAGTGCCTCTGTTATCTTTGATTTATCTTGTCTGTATATTGTGTATACATGGTTATTTGCATGTCATCTCCTCCATTAGGCTGTGAGCTCCTTGAGAGTAGAGACTATCTTTCTTCTTAGCTTGTACTATCTTTTGCCTTTTGTCACATTTCCAGTATTTAGCATAGTGCCTGGCATGTAGTAGGTGCTTAATAAATTTTTATTGACTAAATAAATGACTCCTCTACTCCTAGAACTTTTATGTCTACTTTAATTTTGCTGTCCACCAAAATGGCCACATGTCAAACTTTGCAACCTACAAGATCTTGAATTCTGAGATATCCCTGTCCATAATCTACTTTAAAAAAACAAACAACAAACTTCTTCCTCATCACTGTATTTTCTGAACCTCTTTTTATCTTTCCCATTATTTCCATTTTGGCTAGTTTAGCCCAGCTAATTCCCAACCCTGGATTTAACCTGATGATCTGCCATCTCTGCTACTGCTCCTGAATAGTAGATCAGTGAGTACCATGGGTACAACCCCTTTTTCACTTGATTCACTACAATTGTATTCTAACTGTCTTGCAACTAAGCACAATGCCTGATACATAGTAGGTGCTTAATAAATGCTAGTTGGCTCACTGATTTGGCTTCAGTGACATTGCTTCATAACAATGTTTTCATTCACCCTTTATTTTTGCCTTATCTGATTTTCCTACAGTGATTATCTCCCATATTTTTGTTTTCTGCTGCCTCCAACTCCATCCTTAATTCCCTGTACTTTCAGCAAATCTCATCTCCTATTTTACCAAAAATATTGAAGTCATCCAATGGGAGCTTTTTCATTTCTTTTCCTCCTCATCTTAAAATCTGCATCTTCCCTCTAGCCTTAGAGATTGCCAAAGTTTGCTAAAATCAATGCTTCCACCTGGGCATTTGATCTCCTAGGGCCCTTCAGCATGATTTTATGTTGGACATGGAATCAGGAAGATCTGTATTCTAATACCACTCACTTTGTGACCACGGACCAGTCACTCAACCTTTAACTAGACAGTCAATTAGCATTTATTAAGCTTTTACTATATGCCAGGTAGTATGTTAAGTGCTGTGTGGGTCCTGCTTCCCATGATCCTTCAGTACTTTCTCTCCTTTGAGAAAAAGTTAGTATCTATACCAGCCTCACAGACTGTCCCTCATGCCTGGAATACTCTGCCTCCTTTCCTCCACCTCTTGACATTGAGGTCTTAATTTACAACTCACCGCAAACACTATCTTCTGCAGGAGGCCTTCCCTATTTTTCCTTAACCTCTGTCCCCAAACCCCAAGTTACATGAGTTTTCTTCTCTAAAATTACCTGCCTTCTGCTCTGTATGTATCTAATGTCCACTTATTGATTTACATGTGTCCCCTGTTAGTGTGGAAGCTACTTGATAACTGGATCTATTCTTGTGTTTTATCTTTCTATGAGATTTAATTAGCCAAATGGCCAAATAATGTTATAAATTGTTTTTCTAGGCTTTGATTCATCTGTGACTTGAGAGAACCAGTGATAGCAATTAGAAGAAAATAATGGGAATCATGAGAAACATTTACATTCTGTATAGTATTGTTCTATCTGTGCTGTGTGGGGCTCTGCTACTGCCTGAAGCAAATGAAATAATTACCGACTGTTCTCAGGATTACCTTAAAAATGTTCTGATGGATATGTCACCAAAAACTACCACAATGGATCTATCCCACAAATTCACATGTCAACCTCAGAACTTGGACCTTAGTCCTTTCTCTAAGCTAAAAGTTTTAATTCTCTCTCACAACAGAATCCAACACCTGGATATGAGCATCTTCCAATTCAACAAGGAATTAGAATACTTAGACTTATCTTACAATTGCCTGAGGAATATTTCCTGTTATTCACTTCTGGCCCTCAAACATTTAGATCTTTCTTTTAATGACTTCAACAATATTCCCATCTGTCAGGAGTTTGGCAGCATGTCACAACTGGAATTTTTAGGATTGAGCGGGACACAGATACGAAAATCAGATTTACAGACAGTGGCTCATTTGTCCCTAAGCACTATCTTCCTGGGCTTAAAGCATCTTTCTTACTATGAAGAAGGCAGCTTACCCCTCTTAAACACTGAGAGACTTCATATAGTCCTTCCAGAGAATGCTGATTATAGGTTTATTTTGCACAATGGAATCCACACTTCGAAAACCTTGGAAATGACAAATATCAATATGGATCAATTTACAAGCCAGGAAAGTCAGAAGAATCCTCTTTTGGAGAGTCCAACAGGCTCTAAAACTTCTCATCTGTTACTCAGGAATGTAGATGTACCCTGGCAGGAGTTCTTTCAAATATTGCAGTTTATTTGGCACTCATCAATCCAACAATTACAAATACAAAATTTGACCATTGGTGCCCAAAGTGAATTTAAATTTAAACCATTTAACTACTCTAATACCTTGATGAAAGCCTTAAAGGTGGAGCATGTGACTGTGAAGATATATTCCTTCCCACAGGATATAATCTACTTATTCTTAACTCACATGGACATTGAAAACTTGACAATTTCAGGTGCGGGGATGCCGCATATAATTTTTCCTAATTATCCCACCAAATTTCAGCATTTGAATTTTGCCAACAATAGCTTGACAGATGAATTATTTGTAAACACTCTTCAATTGCCACATTTGAAAACTTTTGTTTTGCAAAGGAATAAATTAGAAATACTTTCCACAGTGAGTTCCTTTGCTACCAAAACATCCTTAGTATACCTAGATCTAAGCCAGAATCTACTACAGTATGCTGATGGAAAAGATTGCTACTGGCCAGAAACCCTCACTACCTTGAATTTGTCATCCAATAAATTTATTGACTCTGTTTTCAAATGCGTACCAAAGAGTATCCAAGTGCTTGATCTGCATAATAATGACATTAGGACTATCCCCAGAGAAATTGCAGATCTGAAAGCTTTACGGGAGCTAAATATTGCATCTAATTCTCTAACTGATCTTCCTGGGTGTGACAATTTCCAAAGGCTTTCTGTGCTGAATATTGAAATGAATTCCATTATTAGTCCATCTCTTGATTTCTTCCAGACTTGTCAGGAAGTACAATCATTAAAAGCAGGAGGAAACCCATTCAGATGTACCTGTGACTTAAGAAACTTCATCAACCTAGGAAAAAAATCCCAAGGCTTGATGATTGGATGGCCAGATGCATATACCTGTGAATATCCTCTAGAACTAAAGGGAATTCCATTAGAGAATGTTGATCTGCCAGAAATATCCTGTAATACACCTCTATTGATTGCTGTCATTCTGATAGTTGGTTTAATTTGGACAGTTGTCATAGCAGTTCTTTGCATCCGCTTTGATTTGCCCTGGTACCTGAGGATGATAGCTCAGTGGACACAGACCCAGTACAGAGTTAGGAATGTGCCCCTAGAAGAACTCAAAAGAACAATCCAATTTCATGCTTTTATTTCATACAGTGAAGGGGATTCTCTCTGGGTAAAGAATGAGCTGATACCAAACCTAGAGAAAGAAGATACATCCATATTGATTTGTCTCCATGAGAGACACTTCATTCCTGGCAAGAGTGTTGTTGAAAATATTATAAACTGCATTGAGAAAAGCTACAAATCTATCTTTATTTTGTCCCCTAACTTTGTTCAGAGTGAATGGTGTCATTATGAACTGTATTTTGCTCACCACAAACTATTTCATGAAGGTTCTAATAATTTAATTCTCATATTACTGGAACCAATTCCCCAGTATAGCATTCCTACCAGGTATCATAAGCTAAAAGCTCTCATGGCACAAAGAACCTATTTGGAATGGCCCAAAGAGAAGAATAAACATGGACTTTTCTGGGCTAACCTTAGGGCTGCCATTAATATTAATTTATCAGAATCTGGAAAGATGAACAAATCACAGACAATGTCAGAGTTACTGAAAGAGTCATAAACATCTTCATGGAAGATAAATACATGGAACTGAATTTCATTTTTGTGCATTTCCCTTCAATAAATCATTGAGTATTCAATGAACAACTACTACGCTCTCGGCACTAAGTGCTGTGATATACACAAAAGTAGTTTATGCATTTGCAATGTAGCCCAGCATGGTGGCCCATCTATAATCCCAACTACTGGTGAACCTGATGCTGGCTGAACTCTTGAGCTTGGGAGTTCTAAGCTGCATGTGGCTATGTGATGCTGCCTTTCATCTGCTTTGTACCTCAATTATATTGGACATTGAATACCTTTCTATTCTTCCCTTTGGGAGGATTCTAGACATGAATTACAACTTAAAGTATAAGTAAATTTGTTCCTGGGATGCCAGGATCAAGGTTTAATGAGCTGACACATCCAAGAGAAGGGAGTCTAGCCCTCCATTTTATTAGAGGACAGATTTTCCCCAGACTGAACATGGTCCAAATCACATGCCTGGGTTCAGAGTTTTGAAGAGAGACAGAAATAAGGTCAGGGCCCAGCTTTTTGGGTCCAGAAGCTCTGTGTGTGTGTGTGTGTGTGTGTGTGTGTGTGTGTGTGTGAGTGTGTGTGCGTGCCAGCATGTAGACAGGTAGGGGATTCCAGGAATCATATGGGAATCTATATAAATAGACACCTACATATGTACATGTATATACATATGTACATATATATACATATGTATGTGTGCATAGGCTTTATTGTGTAGGTTGCTGAATAAAGTCATTAGCACTAGAGCATTAAGAGGCCAACAGTCTATATTTGTGGGAGCTACCAACCCTTTCAGATACCTAGTCAAGTAGCATTTTAAAAGCAAATACTGTGTGTTAAGCATTGGGGATCTAAAGAAAGGCAAAAGATAATCCTGGCTCTCAAGGAGCTCACAGTCTATTGGGGAATACAACATGCAAATAACTATGTACAAACAAGATGTATACAGACTGAATTAGAAATAATCAACAGATGGAATGCACTAGAATTAAGGGGAGGGGACTGCAAAAGGCATCCTGCCTATATGTCCCCATTATTGACTTTACCACACGCACACCAGCAGCAACAGGAGAGGCTAACCCTTGACATTATCTCCGATTCTCTCTTCTTTCAATTCAGTCTCTGGTGAGAAAGCAACCCTTGTTCTAGCTGAGGCCAAATCTTTCACATGTATCCTTGCTGCCATCTGCATACACACACACAGACACAGACACACACACAGACACAGACACAGACACACAGACACACGCGCGCGCGCGCGCGCGCGTGCACACATACCTCTATCCCTAATCTCTCTCCTGAACTCCAGTTCTGCAACACTAGCTGCTTGATGGATTTTTCCACTTGGATGTGCCACAGGCATCTCAAACTCTGTGTATCTAAAATAGAACTCATTATCTTCCTCCTTCTAGCCCCACCGCTAGCCTTCTATAATTCTGCTAAGGCCAACACCACCTTCTAGTGAATCAATCAACAAGCATTTATTAAGTACCTACTACCTGCCAAGCATTGTGCAGATCCAAAGACAAAAAGAGAAAAAATCCCTGTCCTCAAAGAGATTTTATTCTGTGAGGGGAGACAACGTGGGCATATATAAGTACGTGCAAATACACACAGTGGGTTATTAGCAGCTGCGGAGGTCAACAAAGTTTTATTAAGCATTTACTATGTGCCAGGCAGCATGCTAAATGTTGGGAATACAAAGAAATGCAAAAACACTTACGGCCTGACCTTAAGGAGCTCACATTCTGAGGAATAGGGGTGGGATTAGGCAAATAACTATTACCCACAAGACTAGATGGAGGTGATCCCATAGAGAAGACCTGAAAGGTTTCATATGGAAAGTGGTTCTTGAGCTGTATTTGGTAAGAATGGAGGGATCTTAAAAGGAACAGGGGAGAAGGAACTGCATTCTAGCGATGGGGATAGCCAGAGCAAAGTCACAAATGGAGTGTTATATGTGAAGGACAAAAGAAGATGAGTTTGGCTGGATCAGAGAATGTTTGAAAGGAAGCAAGTAATTTAGAGTAATACTGGAAAGGTAGGTTGGGACCAGGTTATGAAGGACTTTAATTTGATCCTAACACCAATAGAGAGACATTGGAGTTTCCTTAGTAAGGGAGTGATGGGTTCTATCTGAGCATTAGGAAAATCCTTTTGGCAGTTGTATGGAATATGAAAGGGAGGAAAGAGACACTTGAGGCAGGAAGACCAGGTGAAGCCCTAGTCTAGGAAAGCTATGATGAGGGCCTAAACAAGGTTGGTAGCCATGGAATTAGAGGAAAGGGAATGACTGTGAGTGATGATGGCAATTAAGAAGTTGAGGAAAATGCCGATGTTGTGGACCTGGGATTCACTGTGACTCTTCCAGTGAAAGATGGTTGTGCTCTTCCCAGAAATAGTGAAGAAGAAGGGTGGGTTTGGTAGGCAGGGAGAGAATGGGGAGATCTTGAATTGTGCTTTGCACATGTTGAGTTTGAGATACTTCTCTAAGCCTCCAGTTCTGAATGTCCAGTGGGCAGTTGGTGATGAGGGCTGGAAGGTAGAATAGCTGGATATACAGACTGAGAATTATAGAAATGATTGTTGACACCATAGGAACTAATGAGGTTATCCAATGAGATCAGGATGGAGCTTTGAGGTATATCCACAGTTAAAGGCCAGGCCATGGATGAAAATCCAACACAGAAGACCAAGAAAAGCAGTCAGACAGGTAGGAGGAAAAGCAGGAGAAAACCATTTCAATAAAACCCAGAGAGGAGACAGTACCTAAGGGGAGATGTATTCAACACTATCAAATACTGTAGAAAAGTTAAGAATGAGGAGGATTAAGAAAAGGACATCAGCTATGAAAATTAAGAGATCACTGGCAATTTTGGAGAGTAATTTTAGTTCAGGGATGAGGTCAGAAGCCAGATGACACAGAATTGAGAAACTAGCAAAAGGAGAAGTGTGTACAGATAACTATTTCTGGGCATTTGGCTGTGAAAGCACATGGCACAGAATAATCAGACAAATACTTGCTGACTGACTGAAAGAGAGGAGAGATATGGGTTGATAGCCAGTAAGAATGATAGTGTCTAGTGAGAGGTTTTTGTTGTTTTGTTTTGTTTTTTTAATGATGTAGGACACTTCTAATGTAGGCAGCAGGGAAGGAGCCAGTGGACATGAAGAGCCTGAAGGTTATAGAGAGAGGGAGATGATTATGGGGGCTTTCTGCAAGACAAGATGGGAGCAGATGACATTAAGGATATTATTAAAGCTTTGGCCTTCGCTAAAAGAAGGCTCACTTCCTTACCAGAGACTGAATCAAAGGAAGATAGAATGTCAAATGCAGTCAAGGGTCTGCCAGGTTCACAACCTCCTCAGAGTCCTACTACACTTGTTACTCTCCTTCACTCCTCCATAGTCAAATTTTGTCAATTCTGCTACCAACCCCATCTTCTCAACACAGCCAACTATGTTACTCCTGTGTTCACAAATCTTCAGGGGCTTCCAACTGTCTGTGAGATAAAATATAAATTTCTCAGCATGGTATTTAAAACCCTTCACAATATGGCTCCCACCTACCTTTCCAGACTTATTCTACATCACTTCCCTTAACATACATGGCATTTCAGCCAAAATAGCCTATAAGGTCTTCCTTGAACGTGGCACTTTCGACTTCCCATGAACTCAACCACATCTCTAGAAGGCACTTCTTTCTCACTTTTTAGAAGAGAATCCTTAGCTTTCTGTAAGACTCAACTCAGGAGCCATCTCCTACATGAAGCCTCTCCTGGTTCCCGCATTGTTATTGTTCCTTCTCTCCTAAAATTACTCTGTATTTACTAATGTACATCAAGGGTTCTCAAACTTGTTTGCTCATGGTACAATATACTTTGTTAGAAGAATTGTGACACACTGAATGTTTAATTTGGCAGTGCTACAAAAAAGTCAGGCTACTCAAGCATGCACAGTTTCCCTTCAATCAGAAGAGCTCTTTTTCAATTGAATTATCTGTCATGTTTTGAGGTTTGTGTGTATATACAATAGGCAAGCTTTGTTTATTTTATAAATAATGTGCTTACCATATTATATTTGCTGTGAAAGTAAAATTTGTATTTAGCAAAATTATTTATACATTTTCTTTCTTTCTTTCTTTTTTTTTAATCTTGATCTTTTTTTTATCTTTTTATCTGGCCCCAGACACCAGCTTTGTGACCCCGGGCAAGCCACCCAATCCTGCTTGCCTCAACCCCCCACCCGCACTAGATTCAACTAGATTTCTGTCTCTCTGCTGGTCTCCTATCAGATGGGGGGAAAATGTCTTAAGATAAAGAAAATAAAACTCATACCCTATGGGAGCATAACAGCATTGAAGCATGCTTTCCGGTCAGATGACTTCTCGAATTCTGATGTTTCTCACTTCCTCCAAATTAAGCTTTATTTGAAACTACTGCTTTCTGCACTATACTGGAACCTTTAAAACTTTTACAACTGGAATCCTCTGGTGTTTCAAACTCAAAAAATTATTTTTAATAAGTTGTTAAGGAAGGTCTCTTTTAAAGGGTCTCCATTTTCTTTTAAATGCAACAGAATGAAAGACATTGGTCCACCCATAAGTCAGGGAGCCAAAGTCATGGGCATTCAGTGTTTAGAGTCAATTCTCAAAAAACAGAACTGCAAGGGAGTAGGAATGTTCAGATAAAACTGAGGCTGTTCCTAATCCTTCTCATCCTCGTCCCTTCTCTCTACCAATCTGGCATTAGCATTGGTTGTGAAGGGGCAGAAGGGGTGGGAATCCTATTTAATTCTTGCCTTTGGAGGCTGAAACAACACAACTTTCAGAAAAATAAATGAATTCATCCACCCCACCCCCCAGCTTGCCTAAAATTTGTGGGTAATGAGCGACACCTTGTGGTAGCTCTGTTGCCTAGCTTTTCTGAACAATTGTGGCCATTAAAAAAGGAGTAATTCACTCATCTAAGAGTAAAACCAGATGGTCATTGTACTAGGCCCTAAAAGTCAACAAGCTTAACCTTTCTTGTCCTCACAAAGGAAATAAATTTGAGAGTTATGGGCCCTCCACCAAGGATGTCTTCTTTTGGGCCTTTGAAGTTAACCAATTGGCTTAGCAACCGCCTCTGCTAAAAATCTCAGTATTGTCAAGGTCCAAAAGGATTTATTTCACCTTTATGTTGTGTCCAAAGCAAGTTATCCCGGCCTATGCTCTGCAAGGGGTTGCAGCCAAAGACAGATTGTATAGACTGTAGTAGAATCATAGTGTCTGAGAGCCAAAGGGGACTTACAGACTGTTTGGTCTAACTTCCTCATTTTACTGATCTGGATTCTAAGGCCTGGAATGATTTAGTGACTTGAGTAAGAGAAGAGCACATTGCAGAATACCTAAATAATCTTCAGGCTTCAGGAGTGTAGGAAACTCCCTCCTCTAAGGAAGATTGTGGCCTGCCGGTGACTTTATTATATGAGACCTAGGGAATTAGTGAAGGCACATGGAGGTTTAGTGGCTTCTGGGCTAATAAGTATCAGAGCCAGGATTTGAATCTTGGTCTGCCTGATGGATCCAGGCCCAGCACTTTCTCTGTTTCACCAAGCTACCTCTATACTACAGAGACAAACTGAACAAATATAGGGTGTCCCAAAAGTCTTAGTGCAGTTCAAAGCTATTATCGTCTGTTGTTGTTATTCAGTTGTATCTGACTCTATGTGCCTCCATGGACAAAGTCTGTAGAGTTTTCTTGGGAAAAATACTGGAGTGGTTAGCCATTTCCTTCTCCATTGTGTTCCCATTTTACAGAAGAAGAAATGAGGCAAATAAGGGTTAAGTGACTTGCCCAGGGTCACACAGCTAGGCAGTGTCTGAGGCTAGATTGGAATGCAA